GATGATGATGCTGTACCTGTACGTCATGCTGATGCATCATCCCACAGGATGGCTATACAGCACTGCACTGGGCCTGCCATGAGGGTCATATCAAGGTGGTGGAGATGCTGTTGCAGCACGGTGTTGATACTAAACCCCAGACCAACGTCAGTACAGTACCTCCCTCTTCCCCCCTTTACCCCTCCCCACTGATGGTGCACCTGGATCACATGATGATGATGATGATGATGCTGTACCTGTTCGTCATGCGGATGCATCATCCCACAGGGTGGCTGGACACCACTGCACATGGCCTGCAGTAACGGTCATGTCAAGGTGGCGGAGATGCTGTTGCAGCACGGTGTTGATGCTAAAGCTAAGACCAACGTCAGTACAGTACCTCCCTCTTCCCCCCACCCTCCCCACTGATGGTGACCTGACCACATGATGATGATGATGATGATGATGCTGTACCTGTTCGTCATGCGGATGCATCATCCGACAGGGTGGCGATACACCACTGCACATGGCCTGCCATAGGGGTTGTGTCAAGGTGGTGGAGATGCTGTTGCAGCACGGTGTTGATACTAAAGCCAAGAACGACGTCAGTACAGTTCTTCCCCCCCCCTATGATGGTGGTGATGATAATGATGATGATGATGACGATGATGTACCTGTATGTCATGCTGATGCATCATCCCACAGAATGGCGAAACACCACTGCACCAGGCCTGCATTCACGGTCATGACAAGGTGGTGGAGATGCTGTTGCAGCACGGTGCTGATACTAAAGTCAAGATCATCGTCAGTACAGTACCTCCCTCTTCCCCCCTTTACGCCTCCCCCCCCCTGATGGTGACCTTTACCACATGATAATGATGATGATGATGATGATGATGATGATGATGATGATGATGATGATGATGATGATGATGATGATGATGATGATGATGCTGTACCTGTACGTCATGCTGATGCATCATCCCACAGGATGGCTATACAGCACTGCACTGGGCCTGCCATGAGGGTCATATCAAGGTGGTGGAGATGCTGTTGCAGCACGGTGTTGATGCTGAACCCCAGACCAACGTCAGTACAGTACCTCCCTCTTCCCCCCTTTACCCCTCCATGATGGTGACCTGGATCACATGATGATGATGATGATGATGCTGTACCTGTTCGTCATGCGGATGCATCATCCCACAGGGTGGCTGGACACCACTGCACATGGCCTGCAGTAACGGTCATGTCAAGGTGGTGGAGATGCTGTTGCAGCACGGTGTTGATGCTAAAGCTAAGACCAACGTCAGTACAGTACCTCCCTCTTCCCCCCACCCTCCCCACTGATGGTGACCTGGACCACATGATGATGATGATGATGATGATGCTGTACCTGTTCGTCATGCGGATGCATCATCCCACAGGGTGGCGATACACCACTGCACATGGCCTGCCATAGGGGTTGTGTCAAGGTGGTGGAGATGCTGTTGCAGCACGGTATTGATACTAAACCCCAGACCAACGTCAGTACAGTTCTTCCCCCCCCCCCCTATGATGGTGGTGATGATAATGATGATGATGATGACGATGCTGTACCTGTACGTCATGCTGATGCATCATCCCACAGGATGGCGAAACACCACTGCACAAGGCCTGCCATAAGGGTCGTGACAAGGTGGTGGAGATGCTGTTGCGTACGGTGTTGATGCTAAAGCCAAGACCAACGTCAGTACAGTACCTCCCTCTTTCCCCCCACCCTCCCCACTGATGGTGACCTGGACCACATGATGATGATGATGATGATGATGCTGTACCTGTTCGTCATGCGGATGCATCATCCCACAGGGTGGCGATACACCACTGCACATGGCCTGCCATAGGGGTTGTGTCAAGGTGGTGGAGATGCTGTTGCAGCA